TTCACCCAACCTGGACAAATCTCTCTTTCAATCTCTCTCTCTTCAGCTCCTTAGATATTCAACATCCACAAATCTTCTCTTTGCTTTGATTGTGGAAGACTTCAAGGTTGAAAAACAACTGGGAGCCCCCCAAAAAAAACAAAAACTGGGAGCCCATGATGTCCTGGGGCTCCCCGCAGGGCGGCGACCATGGTCCCGGAGGTACACAGAAACCCCACTGCTATTTTTACATTAATTTTGTCACTGCTACTGTACAGAAGTTTTAACTTTTTCAATATTGTCAACACTGTAGTTCTTCTTTGTTATACTCTGTCTATTGCTGGCAGCCAGAGGAAGTTATTACTCCTCTGTATATCTGATAAAACTAGAATATATTTTCCACCAGTTTTCCTATGCTTTTTTATTTAATCAAGCTGTATGTAATTTTAGTAGATGACGTGACTTTGAATCTAAGTCATCTTTTCCATCTCTCTTAGTTCGATCTATGAAGTTGGGCCCCCTCCCCCACACTGAGACTGATTGCCATACGTCCCCCATTATATAGCACTGGGTGTTCCTTGGCTCACATTGTGGTCCTCCAGGTCTATTTCTTTTGTACACTTAATAACTCCAACCTTTAGCTTTTTAGTGTTTTTTGTTATGGTGGTGGCTATATGTCCTAATATCTGATAATGCTGGATCTTCCACTTCACTCTTCCTTTTTCTTAGATGTTCCCATCTTGTTTTTCTTTCATATAATTTTTAGAATTAGAACCCAAAAGGAAAATGTTTTTAAAAGAATGTATAACAATTTGGAGTTGCATAGGAAGAACCTAGAAAGATGACAAAACACATTACTCCCATGGCCTTTGAGCCAAGTCTCTCAGCAGATTCTCTCAAGGGAACTGGGGGCACTTTGAAAACCATGGAAACTCCTTCAACCAATGGAGAACCCAAAAGTGCCAACTGGAACAAGGCATCTGTCCCAGAAAGTGTGACCAGTGCACCAGCAAGACCGCACCCTGTCCTGGCTTATCTTGATGTAGGAGGTTGATTCTCAATTTCTTTCACCAGGCGAAGCCCCTGTAAGTATGCAAGGACACGTGCACACACATACACACACAGAGCTTTATTCAACGTAAACCCCAGAACTGAAGAGGGGTCGCGACCACTATTCAAAATGAGTTTCAGAAGTGACAGGCATGATTTTTTTGAAGTTACTTCTTAACAACTGGGCCAGACACTCCATCCCAGGTCACCTTCTCAGGGCCCCACTGGCCTCTTTCCTTATTGTGGAGTATGTAGGTACCTTCTTTGGACCAACATCTGAGGGCTCTTCCATGTGATCACAGTCAGAACGATGTCCAGGCAGAAACCCTCAGGTTCTGCCTTGGGAGACTGTCCCACTTTCTCTGTTCACCTAAAACAGTAAGCAGCTTTTACTGGGTCGCCTTGCCATTTGGCCAGCAGCCTTCCCTAAACAGAACAGTTCAGTTGCCTTCTTAATCCCACTGGACAGCAGGCGTTGTTTTAGCCTCATAAGAGAGAAATAGTAGGACTCATGACACGTGATGGAAAGACACGTGTGTTACACAAGTCTAAGTGGACAGGCACATTCTAGGGGAAATGTAAAAATGCACCAAAAGTGGAATCAGATAGCAGCAGTGTGAATCTGCCCCTGCTAGCTGTATGATCGTGGACAAATTAAATAAACCTTCCAAGCCCCGTTTATAAAAGAGGAATAAGAATACTGCTCAAAGTTGAAATGAGGATTAAATTAAATCATTTATAGACACTACCTATATACTATTACTGTCTCGATATCTAAAAGGACCAAATAAAATAATTTGTTATACAGTTTTAAAGGATGCATGACTCCATCCATAAGCAAAGTCCTCTTATACCCTCCAAAACTTCTCCGTACTTCCAGGATGAAAGAGAGAATATATACAACAGAGGCCCTTAACTTTGGGGGATTTGTTCTCCTAGAGAACTTGGAGACTGTTAAGAGCTGCTTTTTCCAAAAGAAGCAGCAAGTCAACATTCTAACTGTAGAGCTCCCCAGGTGCCTTGAAGCACATCTGTGGGCAGCTCCATGGAGCCCAGTCTGAGAACTCACACCTTGAGCACCCACACGCGTAGGCCCGCCTTCTGTCAGCAGGGAAGGTAAGTGACTGTGACAGGACTCAGCCTAACTACGTCCCAAGCCGTCATCCATAGCTGAGGGCTATTCCATCCACCCTGGATCCTGACACCTTTGCCGTAAACCAGTACTTCTCCTCATCCACCCCACACCCCATGTTAGGGCACCAGTCCTTTGTCTACATGGGGAAAAAAACGACGGCATTGAATGCGTTAATAAGGTTGCATCATCTCACTGCAGTAATTTCCTCCTTTATGATTAAAAGTAGCTAACACTCTTTGAGTTATGACTACATGCCACACAGTGTGCTAAACACGTGAGCCGTGTTGTCATCTAACCCTCCCAGGAACAGCATGAGGTGGATTTCGTTATCTCCACTTGGCAGTCAGTTAGCTGAGTCTTAGACGGTTTAACAGTCACTTGCTACTGGTCATTCAGCTAGTGAGTGGTGAAGTCTGGCTTGGAGCCCTGCTCTCACTACTCTGCTCTCTGCCGCCTCCCCCCATGGCACTGCAGATCTCCTGGGACATTTCATAAGTACTAACACTTATAGGCCTTAATTACTGCCCTGTGGATCCCCAAAGCTTTGCTTACCCTATATTCTTTTAGCTCCCCAGCCCTAAGGAGCCCCCTCTGGGAAGATTGCCCTCCACATATAAGCTGCTCCCTGCTCGCTGCACACTTTTGTGAATCTGTAATGCATCATTCCCAAAGTTGTCAGAGTGTCTGACTTCCCCATTAATGGCATACAGGGTCTTCAAAGCCTCCATGTCATCTCCTCTATCAACGTGTTGCTTCCTATTTCAGATAAGAACCAGCCCTTTCGTCATATTTGAATTTCAAATATCCACCCACCTTATCAACTTGCCTGCCACTGTCCTTTAAGAGTCCAGTTCAATCATTTGTGATGAAAATGTAGCTGGGACACAATGAAATGAAAGTGAATGAGTGTTTCAATTATACCTAAACCTTCACAGCCAGTGCCTTGGTAAGTTTCGATGTGTCTTGAAAATGTATTTATCTGAAAGTTTCTTGAACACTGAGCATTTTTCAAATATTGGAACTATCTATGTTGTAGGCACTTTAACAGAATGCTGCGTGCTTTACCAACTGGTCAAGAGTTTAACCCTCTCTACTTGAAGTCTGACGGTTTTTATTACACTTATTCCTCCCACGTCTTCATCAGTGTGATCTGACTCCAGCCTGGTCACCCAGTCCCAGCTTCCGGCAGCACCTTGTGTCAACAGTTTGACTTTCTTGATCAAGAAAGCGCTCACTGTGTTGAGGCACAGGGGCTGTTGAGAAGGGCCACGTTACATGATACCAAGACTCTTCTCTGCAATACATTTAGCCCAAGGGCAGTCAGGAGCAGACAAAGTAGGAATCAGAACCTTACCAGCAACCCACCGAAAGAGAGAGGCCCGAGGAGAGATGGTGGGCCCAGCCACATGCAGGAGGCCGCAGAGGAGAGCACTGAGCAGGGGGTCCATGGAGTGGGAGACCTGGGGTTGAATTCTGACTGTCCCTTACTTATCTGTCACTTACTATATGACCCTGGGAAAGTCCTAAATGTGTCATCTGTAAAACGGGAATGACAATAACCCTACCTCATAGGGTCGTTGCCATGGAACATGTACCATGATAAGTGCCATGATGAGGTATGACCCAAAGAGGGAATGCAAGGGGAACATGGTGATGTGTGTAGACCATCATCCAGCCAAAGTGGAGATGCTGAGCCCCACTAGAAGAACTCAGCCCAGCCTCATTCCACCCAGACAGAGTGATACCCACCTGAGGGTGCCATCGTCTGGGTCCTCAGCCTCCTCAAGTTCTTCCCACTCGCTGTCACTCTCACGGGGCTCTTCTGGAGGCAAAGACTCTGAGAAAGTACCCCGAGAACAGAACTGCGGTAAAGGAATGGTCCCTGAATCTGCCTTCAAACATTCTCCACAGGGTAGCTGGTCTTCCAACGTAGAGCTGAGAGTAGGATATGCTTCATCCTCCAAGGTGAGAGAAGGGGCTTTAGGTAGATGGCATATGTCACCTTCATCATCATCACTGTACAATTCAAGACTAGAAAACAGAAACCCACGTGTCTTCCGGTATTGATCAGAAATTCCTCTCCCCACCTTCCCTTGCTTTCAGGATGCTCATCGTGACACACCACAGGCAAGCCAGCCAGGCTTGAAACAGTTCTTGCCAGAGACTTCTCTGGGGTCAGGAGGTGAACAGTGAATACGGCATGGCCCTTGACCTGGAGGAGCCCCTGATTTAATGGGAAGAGCGAGCAGTGAACAAATGTTAGAATCAGGTAAGAAGTGCTATGGTAGAGGCAGCACAGAGCCTTATGGGAGCAGGGGGAGCTCCTTACCGAGTCCAGAAGACAATGCAGGAACTTGCCAGAGGGCACGGATCAAAAGCAGAGCTATGACCCAGTTTTAGTCCTGACGCTTCCTATGGGAAGACAGTCAGACCTCAGGCAAGTTTATTAACTTCTCTAGAACCTCAGTCTTTTCATCTGAAAAATGGGAAGGTTAAGAAACTTACAGGAGCATTGGGATGCTTACATTAAATAATTCTGATACAGCCACCCATGGCTCCTGGTACAGGGTAAGTTCTCAGTAAATGGAAGATGTCATGATTACTACTATGATTACGTTTGCTATTTCGACAGAGGAATTAGATGGAAAGGGCCAAAGCAAGAGGCTGGGAACAGCTCAAGCAGGTGACCTTCAAAGCACTTTGCCCAAATATCAGGTCCTTTACAGAGCACTGAAACAGTGTCTATTTGGAGAAGCAGCCAGCTGGAGTGACATTTACTGCCTGTGTGACATAGGAAGCAGATGAACGGTGAAGCTCATTGGTTGGCAACGAAGATGCAGAAGCAACAGGGAGAGAATAAGCCTTCGAGGGGCTGCCGAAAGTCACTACACACGTTTTTGATTAGAAAGAGCAGTCCGTGAAGATGACAGAGCATTGGGCACAGTGCTTCCAACATGCAGACAGGGTACTCAGAAAATATCTGTCGAGAGTCTGGTTAGAGAAGATGAGTAGGAGAATCTAAAAGAAACGCACATAGGTTGAGCTTTGTACCAAATACACGGATCCTTGCTTATCAGCCTCCTTCCCCATCCCCAAATCAATAGGGTGGCTTTGTCAGTGCCCCTGCCCTCCATTTCCCTTTCCTGCAATACACCTTTCCCTTAAAATCAGCGCTGGTACCTCCTTATAGCTACAAGCCCCCAAACACCCATGTAGCTGGCCCTCCCCCCCAGTAGGGCTGGAGTGTTGGTTCCAACCTGAGTTTGCTGTCAAAGAGACATCATTTCTGCTCATGAGAGATACAGAGTTCATGTAAATGGGCATTTCCTGTAAATACACACGCACATGTGTTTAAAAAGAAGACCAGGGCTTCCCTGGTGGCGCAGTGGTTGAGAGTCCGCCTGCCGATGCAGGGGACGCGGGTTCGTGCCCCGGTCCGGGAAGATCCCACATGCTGCGGAGCGGCTGGGCCCATGAGCCATGGCTGCTGAGCCCGCGCGTCCGGAGCCTGTGCTCCGCAACGGGAGAGGCCACAACAGTGAGAGGCCCGTGTACCACAAAAAAAAAAAAAAAAAAAAGAAGACCATATGCATAAAGACTAAAGAGGAACATTCACTTTAAGAAAACAACCTCTTAAAATTGCTAAGCTCTTTAAGGAAAAATTGATTTAACACCTTAAAGTATTTGACCAAATTGTGCAGAAAATGTGTTTTCTTATAAACATAGGGAGGGAATACCATGGCAGTTTTGTCAAAGGACAGGAAATCCGGCTGGTGCCCAGGCCCACCCTGCCGCTGCTCCCCCGCCCCCCAGCAGCAACTCTCTCCTTCCCTCGCTGCGGAGAAGCAGGCGGCAACACTGCAGCGCCTGGCTGGCCATGCCTCACCTCCCACTTCCGTGCTCCTCCAACCTTTGTAATAAGCTCCTTGCTCTCCAGGTTGGATTTGGGGCTCCAGCTACTAGCCCTGCCCGGAAAGAGAGCCAGGGAGGCCATCAGCCTGAGAGGCAAGAGGCAAGGCTGTTGGGGGCTCAGTGGTCTCCAGGGTGGCATCTTGGCGATTATCTCAGGGAGAATAACTGCCCTTCCAACCATCCTTCCACCCAGGCCACCAGGCTGCTCTTGGAGCTCTGACCTGGAGTTTGCTTGTGGGCATGGAGAAAAGGACGTGAGGCAAGCAGAGGTCCAGAAAGGCCCGAGAGAGCCCACCAGGCAGAGCCTATTTCACGGAAGGGGTGAGACTTGGAGATTTGGAGAATTTGATAAGATGTTTTGGCGTGTGGACACGCCAGGTAGAGAGTGAGAGTCCTTCCCCCAGGGCTCAAGGCCAGCTCAGGACCTGGGGATAATGCAGTAGGGCTCCATCTAGAACCTGAAGGGATCAGAGTGCTCCGAGCTCTCTGTTTACCCCTGGATACATTTTATGACCTCGGCTCCTCCCTGCCCTCATTCTCTCCCTCCCAAGCTGTCTGACAAAAGGAGCCTCCTGTAGACAGATGGCACTTAGAGGAGAATCTGGAGACCCCACCTGGGTCTCCTCAGGTGTGCCCAGCTGCCTCCTCCACACAAGCTGGCAGGGCCCTGGCACTAGGCCTCCCACCAGATCCTGCAATTCTTCAGCGACTGCTTTTAAGGAAAGGAATCCCGGTTCAGCTCTGAGGTCAGTGAAATCATCGCGAAGCCTCTGCTTGCTACAGGGTATTTACTGAGAGTGGAAGACACCAGACCCAACGTCCCAGGAGAGCTGTTCCTTAGAAACTTGAGCCACCAACATCACATTCACCTTTCAGGAAGACAAGTCAAATGAGTAGATGGCATTTCAGGCCTGAAATACCGGGTATTGTAATTGCCCTATTTACTGCGGGTAAGCTCACAACAAGGTCGGGTTTTGTGTCTCTTCATGTGAGGCTCAGCCTTTCCCGTCTCTCCAGCACCAGGCCCGCCCCACATCCCCATTAGCCTGGTGAGTGCCACTGGGACTTCCTGCCGGTGCCAAGTTTAACATCTGGGGGGTTTTGTTTGCAGTGTTTCTAAGACATCAAGTAGAGATGTTCAGGGATCACTGGGGGTGAAGTTCAGTTGGTAATCCTGAGCTGGAGTTCAGTATTTAGGAGTCGTGAGAGTGGGTGTGTATGGGGGTGTCCCCAGGGAGCCTGTCAGCTTGCGGAGAGAACCCAGCTGAAGGCAGCACCCAGTCCCAGGCTGCCACGGGCTCTGCTCTGCTGGGTTAGACCACTGCCACTCCTGGCCAGGCATCTGCCCCACTCACTCCTCTCAGTCACACTTCACACTGTGAAGGCAGAGCAGGCCTTCACAGGGGTCCCCTGTGTCCTCCCGTTGGACCGACAGCCCTGCTCACCTAGCAGCTCATTCAACCCTCGGCCAGCTACTCTGAGGTCACACCTGGCATGTCAGCTGCAGTTAAGTTAGACCCTTAATCTCCTAAGCATCTTTGCTATCCCAGGAACACTGCCCTCCCCAGAACATAGACAGTAACTTTAGGTTCATGTCAAGGACCTGGTTTCATTTTGCATTCTTAAATAACCATGAAGACTTATATCCTCACTTTCTCTAAATGATACTTGCTGAAAATAGATGCATTTTAATTACAGGAATATAAGTATATATGCTAGGGGAGAGAGACAGAGACAGAGATAAAGGAAGGAAGGAAGGGAAGGGAAGAGAAATAACCTTAAACACTCTGCAACAACCACTTCTCACTCAATGAGGTTAAGCCCTGAATTGAACGTGAGTGGGAAACTTGAATCTGCCATCCCTTCATTCCTACGAGGCTAGCATTTAAAGATAAGCATTTTGCAGTCAGCATGGCCCATAAATGCAAGTCACCAGACTTCATCTGAGGCTCAACCAAAGAAAAGGTAATCTCCTCCCACACCAACGGAGAAAAACATCACATCTCCCAAAGTGATGTTCAGGGTAATGTGACTTGATATGATTTTACCTTATGCCCTACTTTAGAAACTAACCTTGCATAAGATGCAACTCCAGCCAAGTACCAAGTCCTCTCTCTGGAAGATACACAATTCTAGTGTTCCTCCATGAAAATGTACTGTACTGCTTTATTACATGTTTTACAAAGATCTACTACCGTATGGTAGTAGTATGTGTACAGTGTGGTAAAAGAAGAGAACAGGGAAGGAAGAGTAAAACTTCGTCTTCTCCATGAACACTCTGGGTTTGCTGGGGTGCCGGCAGCCACTAGACTAGGAAGTAACCACCTCGTAGATGGTAAGATCTGCCAGTTCGGTGGGAATTTTAATTGATTGGGACTTGTTTTTAGCTGAAAATGGCTCAGGAAAGGGAAGGAAAACTGACTTGAGCTCCTGCTGCATGCCAGGCTCTGGACTAGTGCTCTGCATGCGTTATTTCTTTTGAAGGGCACAGTACCCTGTGGAGTTGTCAGGGTCTTCATTTACATTTGAGAAGCCTCAAGCTCAGGGAAGACAACTCTCCAGACACACTAGTAAGTGGTAGAGCTGAAACCAGGGCTGTATGATCAAGAAGTCAGTACTCTTTTTGATCTACACTGCAGAAAGAAAACTTCACTCAGGGATGCCAGAAACAAGAGGCAGTTACCTGGGGCAGCCACCTCAGAACTGAGCTGTGGATATTCCAGGGAGAACCACAAAGAACCACAAACCCACTTTGGAATCCTAATTCTGACCCTACCCAGGAGCTGGGGGAACTGTGTCCAGGGATTGCTGAGCCTGTGCCACGCTTTTCCTCCTGTAGGGGGCAGTCACTAACTATGTGTGCTTTAAGCGCAAGCTAAGGTCCCACTGGAGGAGAAGCTAATATGGTTTGAGTCCTTCCTTTGTAGAGAAAGAAAGGTTCCTGAATGGAAGAGAGAAAACTCAGTACAAGTGAAACACAGTAAAAGGAAATGTGAAAAGGCAGAGCGCTGCCATCACCAGGGCTGTGGGAGGTAAGTACAAGGGGGGGGAGTTGGTGATGGAGGGAGTCGGGGCAGAGAATAGCAAGGCTGCCCCCCTGTAACTCCATGGACCACATGGCCTGGGTAGCAAGCATAGGGCAACAACCAAGGTGGAATGATGATCTGGGGCTCCACCAGAATGTTCTGAAGAAGCTCTTAGTATAATTCTAGGAAGGGGCAGCCCCCTGTAAGGATGGCAGATTTTGGACATCTGGTATACCCTTGCAAGTAGGAATGCTAAGCCAGATTTAATTTGATTCAGAAATATAAAATGATGTGATGTTTCTTATTTTTTTAAAAAAGAAATGACGAAAACAGGAGGAAAACATATCAGGATTTATGAGTAGAAGATAGAGAAAGACAATTTTCACGTCAGTATAAAGAAGAACTTCCTGATCAACAGCTACACGATGATAAAATGGGCCACGTCAAGAGGCAGCAACTTCCGCCTCCCTGGAGATATTCAAGTAAAAGCAGGCCCCCTACTTCAGGGATGTCACAGAGCAGATCCCAGCATGGGATATGAAGTTAGATGAGACCATTTTTACATGGAACAACCCTGAATTTCTGTGAGTCCATGAATGAGACAGTGACAACATACAGTAATAATTAGTTTAAATACTATTATTAATAAGTAATCATTGTATTATATTAAAGGCACATGGCAAGTCAAACTCCAGGCTTATACCTAATCCTAGAGTCACTTTATAATCCAGTCCATCACCTAAATTATCTATCAGTAAAACCTTTAAAAATCCAAGAGTGGCCCCATGTCTACAGGGAAGTACCACTCCTTTTATATTTCCTACAAGATCATACGAATAGCTGTCCTTGGATAAATCTCTGTAGGTTATTTCCTTTATCATTTGATCAAGTATATCAATTACTGGCTAGAATGCAAACGTAAGGAACTATACATACACTCGTGCTTATGCATTTTCAAGCAATGAAAATGAATACCACTGATGAACGTGCTTGCCCACCCTGTTCTACTCTGCAGAGGAGTTGGATTTTGTTTAGTTGGCACAATACAGTATACTTTAAAAATTGTATCTGGATGCTTCTAGGAAACATATGCCTGGCTCCTGTCTGTCACGGATCTCACCCTGCCTAATTGCATTACCCCAGCCGCTTCATAGTTCATGTCACCTACTAGTCCCTATAGATTTGCCATTGTCAGTCTTCCAGGATGACCAACAATTAAGAGCTATTTAATATCAGTGGGTTTATACAGTGTCAGACACAAACCATTGTTCCTCGTTTGTCTGCTTTGTGCCCATGCATCTAGTTAGCACACTCCTAGGAGCAATGTCTCGCCCTCGCTCAGTATGTGTACCCCTCTCTCTGCTCCTAACAGGTTTCTAAGTACCCTGGCTATGTGTAAAAATACTCATCAAACTGAATGAAAGCGTTTGTTTTCCATCAGAACAGGACTGAGAAGTGGAAATACTCAGGGGTGGATGAGCACAAAAATGCAGACTATGTTAAAGAACAAATGGCTATTGAAATGAATGTCTCAGTCTGGTCTTGAAGATGCAGATTTGGGTTTTTTTCTTAAGCTGGTGTTGATTACAAAGCGTTATATTTGCAATAGAAATGACGTACACAAGGGAACCTCTTTCCTACCACGGTGCTTCAAGAGGCCATGAGGGATGCAGGACAAAGGTCTGTATGTGGGGAAGAAACCCCAAGGCCTGCCATCTGTAGTCTCCAAGGATACTGGAGGACCTCTGGGTGGGGTTTGCTTTCCCAAAAGCTCACAAGTTGTGGTTACAGCAGCTCCAGATCGCATGCTTCTCTTGTTTCTTCCTCCCCTACAATGCCCAGAACAGTCCTGGCCCAGCAAGCATCTGAGCATAGTTAATAATTGCTTGATTGTAATTTCTAGCAATGACATGCACACAATTTATAATATGTCTGCAAAGGGGTGATCCTTACCTTTCAAGTCTCCTGATATCACAAACTGAATAGCAGTTTTGCTTCATATTGTTTTCCAAAGAGGTAGCCAATGTTGATGCATCCATTTCTTGGTGAAGTCTGAATAAATGAGGGTAGGAATCCCGAGGACGAGTCAAGGAAGTGGCCCAGGGTCTCTCTGTGTCTTGGTCCCATTGTGCCTCTCCGGTGGCCTGTTGGAAAGACTCTGGCCTGAGACCCAGGCCTTCCCCTGCATCTGCGGAGGCACTGTCCCTCTGGCTGTCCTCTTGATCTAGGCTGGGGCTCTGCTCTGAGTCAGTGCCTGTTGCCCTGGTGAATTCTTTGTCTGCTGAGAGCACAGGTGTCTATTGAAAGAAATGCTAAGGATTACTGGATCCACGGTTCACACTGAGGAAAATCTAAATATTGCTTTGGTACCAAAGTCGGTACCAATCCACCCCTTTTCTCTGTTCTTCAAATGAGCGTCTGTACTCACTATTTCTGTATCCCCTCCTTCTCGTTTGTACCCACTCCAACCAGGCTTCTGTCTCCATCATTCCACTGAAGGAACTCTGATTAGGATCTCTAGTGACCTACATCTTTCTAAAGCCAAAGGATAATTCTCTGTCCTCATCTCACTCTAACTCTCAGCAACATTCAGCGTAACTGGTCCCTCCTCCTTCTTAAGAATGTCCCTTATGAATTTACTCTACTTAAACGTTGAGTTTACCCTGAACTCTGCCCTTACCTGGACCACTTCCCAGGCCCCTTCTCAGTCTCATGTGCTGTCTCATTTCTTTGGACCAGACCGCTCAGTGTTGGGGTGTCACATGGCTCACTTCTCAGCCCTCTTCTTGACTTTTTCTGTACTCCTTCCCAGGGTGATCTCATCCAATTTATGGCTTTCAGTGGCATTATTTGCTGACAATTCCAAGTTCGCTTTTTCCAGCCCTGACCTCACACCAGTTCTCCACTAACAACTACCTAACAGACATCTCCATCGAATGCTCCACAAACATTTAAGTTTACATGCTATCAAGGGCTACTTCTTCTCCCCCATGTGCTTTAAACTTCTCCCTCCAGGCACATCCTATCATGGTGAGTGGTGCCGCCATTCATCCAGGTTGATCAAGCCAAACTCTACTCTCTGTCCGCACACCCATATCTAATCCAAAAGTCATCCCACGGGCTCTGCCTCCCAGTCACCTCCCAAATCTGACCACTTACCAGCTATTTGGCTACAACCTGAGTCTGAGCCACAGTATCTCACCTGAATCGCTGCCACCTTATCTGCTCCACTCCATCTCCACCAGCAACCTAAGTGACCTCTCTAAAGTACAGACCACATGAGGCCACATTCCTTCTTCACCCTTCACCCTCCCACTCCTCCCAGCCCAGTGGCTTCCTGTGGCAGCCAGGATGGAATCGGCACATTACCAAGACCTACAGGGTCACACATGGTGCAGTCCCTGACTCCCTCTACAACTCCTCCCATTCCACACTCCCCTTCATTAGCTACTGTCCAGGCACAACCATTATCTTTGTGTCCTTCAGACCTCCAGGTCATTCCTGTCTCAGAGCCTTTGCATATGCTATTCCTTCTGCCTGGAATGACCTTATTCCAGATGTTTGTACAGCTGCCTCCTTCTCATAACTACTTTATTCTAGTTCTGAACTAAATACTCTCTTCCTTGGTCTTCAGTCTGACCTCTGGAGCCACGTGAATGAATGAAAATTCTTCTTGCACTTGGTCCTCAGGTATGAGGAGAGAGGAAGCATGCCCACCATTCCTCACCCCAAGCCCTTCCCACTAGATGCATCTGGGCTCTGCTTGGGGGACCTCTTCTCCAGGACAGAAGGACAACTCTTACCCTGGCATTACCAGATATGTCACAAAAACACTGGGTACCAGCCCCTTGGCCTGACCTTTGTGTGTATGAAGCTTGACCCTCCCCTGCCCTGTTCATTAGCTTAACACAATTGCTGACATCTACCTTCTTTTCCAAACTGGCAACTGGAAACGTTCAGATTTCCTTCCCATAGCTCTTTGCTCACCAAAGTTGGTATCAAATGACCTCTTGGAGTCCAGGCATCAAGAGGATCTGGGTCACCAAGTCCCTGTGCTGTGTCTAGTGACTGTCACCCTCAGTGATGATAAGTGATTGATTTTATCCACATCTTATCCACGTCTCAGATGGGGAATCATGAGACCTAGAGAAGTCAGGCAAGTGCCCAAGGTCCTTGCAGCAAACAGAGCAGGTGCAGGTGATTCCAGGGTGCTCACACCGATCCCCCTCCACAACTGAGGCCATCAGCCCCCAGCTGTCAGGACTGCTGGCTGCTGGCAGCTTACAGCTATCCCCTCCGCAGGAATTGTGCTCAGCTCAAGGGAACTGCCTTGGCCAAAGTTAGGCCCCCTCCCTTGGGGCAGCTCTTACTCCAGCGCTGGTTGATGCAGAGAGCAAAGGTACAGGCTCTTTTGTCCCAATTCGGGACAGCTCTGTGGGGCCAGCCCAGCTTCAGAGCTCCCTGTGAGGTCAGCCGAGGCCCCTGTTGCAGCTGCAATACATTTACTTCCCCTTCTGCCCAGCTGTGCTTCTCGCACCCTCACAAGGGTGTTCCCAAGAGCCGGCCCCATAAACTTCCTGCACTCCAATCTCTACCGCAGCGTCTGTGCCCAAGGACTCAACAGGTGGTATTGTGATGGTGAACGTTATGTGTCAACTTGGCTAGGCCACAGTACCCAGATATTTGGTCAAACACGAATCTAGATGTTTCTGTAAAGGTATTTTTTAGATGAGAGTAGCATGTAAATCAGTAGACTTTGAGTGAAGCAAATCACCTTCTGTAATGTTGGTGAGCTTCGTTCAATCAGTTGAAGGCCTTAAGAGAAAAAAGACTGAGCTCCCCAAGAAAGAATGAATCCTGCCTCCAGACTGCCTTAGGACTCACCCTGCAACATCAGCTCCCCACTGGGTTTCCAGCCAGCCAGCCTGCTCTGCAGAATTTAGACTGGCCGGGCACCATGATCACGTGAGCCAATTCCTTAAAATCTCTCTCTGTCTCTACACACACACACACACACACACACACACACACACACACACACACACACA